TCTTTTTATTTTTTATTTTGAAACATAGTTCACTCAACTTCCAGAGTGCTAGGATTATAGGCAGAGGATAATATATTGGGCTCATTTTTATCTTCTGTAGCAGGACTTGCCGCAAGAAATACATATTACATGCTATATGGTGGTGCACACCTGTAATCCCAGTACTTGAGAAGCTGAGGCAGGAGGGCCACAAGTTCGAGCCCAGCTTGGGCAATTTAGTGAATTAGTGAGACTCTGTCTCAGAATAAAAAAACAAAAAGGGACGTGGTTCAGAGTGAAGGCCCTAAAGTCCTGAAAAAAACCAAAAAGGATAAAAATATAGAAATAAAAACTTTTTCTGTTGTTGGTTCAAACACCCTGACTTTGTGAATCGAGATAAGATTTCAGCCCTAGCAAAACTAAAAACCTGAATTGATTTCTCTAGGTAGGTTAAGGACCAGTCCTGCTTTATGAATTTTCCAGCAGAAATAGTTTAGGTTTTGATGACAACGGGTTAGGTTTCCTTCTGAGACTGTAAATTCTCTCCTGGTGATCGCTCGAGGGAACCCCGGTTTATCCGAGACACATGCAGAAAGGCGAGCTCCGGGGTTTTTTGGGGACGCACTTCGGGCTTGCAGCTCTGCAACGCGGTGCGGCCCTGGTCGCTGGGTTGGACCCGCGACGCCTCTAGACTGGAGGGAGACTGCGAGGGACTGAGGTTCGGTCTCCAGAATGATGCGGTCAGTGAGTTTTTAAAATATCCTACGCCAGGATTGGAACTGTTGTGGGCGCCTTTTATTAGCAAAACTTGTTCTGGAGAAAAGCCCATACTTCGTACTCAAGCTACAGAGGCCGAGGGCTGGGGCGTAGTCAGTGGCAGAGCGCCTACCGCTTGATCAGACCAGATGTGTACGTGTGTGCCAGACCCTGGGTTCCACTCTCAGCCCCAGAAAGAAAAAAAAATCTATTCTCTCTGGAATTTTGGGAGGGGAAAAAAAAGATGAGATGAGCAGAGGACATTGTGGAATGTTTTCCTTGCACCTCTCCTGCAATTACCCATAACTCTGACATGCTTTTATGGAAATGCTTACTCTCAGTAGATTTAAATCTGACTTTAGACTCCAAAGTTAAGAGTTAAAGCAAACTCTGTGAATTTACTGACCTCTGGTGGACAAAATAGATTATAACTATAAACTACACTACATCGAAGGTTAATTGCAAATGAATATTTGCTAAATATAGTGTTTAAACCAGGCGTGGTGGCACTGGCCTGTAATTTCAGCACTGGTGAGACTGAGGCAGGAGGATTGCCACAAGTTCTAAGGCAGCCTGGGCTACATAGTGAGACCTTGTCTCAACAGCAACAAAAGGAAAAAATGTTATTTGACAAGAAGATAAGATCACAGGTGTTTCAGGTGCGCCCTC